TATAATAGTAATGCAAAAATCTAATAAAATATAAGTTACAATTTGATATTATAAAAAAAATAAAATGGTATGTAATAAAATAATTTATAATACAGAAGCTATTAATAATAGATTTACAAATTATATTTTCTAACATAAGATTGATAAAGTAATTTAATAAAATTAACTTTATCAGTATATAGCTTGTTATTATATAATTAAAATTACTTGATTTTATACTATTTAATCTTTTTTAATAAATAGAATCAAATAATACAAAAATTATATGATTTAGATCATAGAAACAATTTGTATAAAGAGGTGTGGTGACCTAGTAAAGTGGTCAGGTTGTCAACCTCCCAAGTGGTAGGTTGGATGTTCAAATCCTATTAATGATAAAAATTTGAATAATCATCTATGTAATATTTATATTATAGCAACTGTTACTAATGATTAGATTAGGATATCTGTAATGGCAGTCACACCAGCATGACTGGCAGGTTATAGGGCATCTGTGCAATGTTGAAGTTACACAGAGGAATAAAAACTGACATATCGGGCAGTACAAATACTAAATAAGTCCTTGTGACTGTATAAATCCGTTGAATTGGGTAACATGAAGTCTATTTAGAAAGATCTGAATAGAAAAGTAGCTAGATCTTCGATGACTCTATTGTAAAGGCTAGCTTGGGAAAATAGATACCAAGGTCTAGTACTCAGTCCTAGTAACTGAACAGACAAGAACCTCTAGGTTAGTAAGTTTCGAAGGTATCACCAACCAGGCCACCAGAACGAACCAGAAGAAAAGGATATCAGGCTGACCTGATATACCAATAAACTGATTGTAGTTCTATACAGGCTATCTAAATTGGAAGTTTGGTAAAAGGACAGAAGAAAAGGCAAGGGTATACTAAAGTACTGGAGTTATGCTATAAAGTAGATGCTGGGGTCTAAGTGAACTCTACAAGAACATAGTGGTTTAATGGTTAGCCCTGACCGCAAGTGTTAGTTCTGCCATAGTGATATCTAGATCAATTGTAAAAATAGATACAGAAGACTCTGGGGGTTTACCTTGAAGATAAATTAGTTCTAAGGTTGAGAATGATGATCTGGTACATCTAAGATGACCAGTGATGTTAATACAGATTACAGGTTCAAAGGGTTTAAAGTGGAACATCCAAGCAGGGGTGTTAGGTATAACAATTGGTAGAGAACCTTCAGGCAAACTCCTTAAATAGGTAATATAGAAAAGTTACATGTGTAACCAATTGTACATTCTCCTGTAGTGGTTCATTGAACCACAATACTGATAAGTGATTAATAAAAGTCAAAAGACCAAAGAAGTCACCTTAATACCAAAAAAAAAAAAAAACAATTTGTATAAAATATATTTTTTTAAAAAAACTTAGATTATAAGAATAATTTGATGAATTAAGAATATCTTGTAATTCTGTGATTTAAATCAAAAGATTTTTATATTATTCAATTTCTCTTAGTAAGAGAAATCAAATAGTATAAAAATTATCTAGTTTGGATTACAAAGTCATGAGATATCTAAATATATTTTTACTATATAATTCTAAAATTATATAGTAAAAAATAAAATAACATGATACTGCAACCTGAATCAAATGATTTTATACCATTTAAACCATTTAATTTCTTTCACTGAGAAATTGAATGATATAAAAATTATTAGAATTGAATCACAGAATTACAAGGTTTGAATCAAAAATCCTGACAGACATGATTCTGACAAAAAAATCCCAACAGTTAAAAATCCCAACAGTTAAAAATCTCAACGGTTAAAAATTCTACAATTAAAAATTCCGCTAAAAAATAATAATAGACCATAGCAAACTCTATCTCAACCCATTATCTAAAGTAAAATTAATTAAATCATAAGGTTTATTTCGCTCTAAACATATCTCATACTTGGGATTTTCTACCTAAAAATTCTGGCTGTCGGGATTTTGAATTGTCGGGATTTTCGACTGTCGAAATTATAACCTGTCGGGATTCTGTTTGTCGGGACTTTGACCCGCACCCGAATCAAAAGATATATATATATCTGATTCATCATAATGCTTCTCTTAACATTCAATTTCTTTAAAAATATATTTTTATAGAAACCACAATATCTCATGACTCCGTAATGCAATTCTAACGATTTTTATAATATTCGATTCCTCTAAATGAATGGTATAAAAATTGCATGATTTTGGTAACGTGATGCGGAGATACGCAAATTCGTCAAATTACTTTAGGTAAATATTTTATTTTTATTAAATTTAATCTTATATATTAATATACAATACAGCAGTAAAAATAATCCAGAAACTGAAAACAATATTAAAATATTTATAAAAGAGGCTAATGAAGATATAATGAATGCATTAGAAACTTTTATTCAAATTATAGAAAAGTGCATAACATAGGAAATTTACTTTATCAAAATAATAAAAAAATTCACAGTAGAAAACAAATTCCTGTTCAGCAGTCTCCTCTCAACGTAGAACAAAATGGTTAACGAAAGGTAAAAAAAAAAAAAAACCATTTCCAGGGCGACAGCCATTAAATGAAAATGCAGATCCTCAAGAAATGCAAACCCGCAAAAAAAAAAAACCCCCCGCCAAAAAATCACAACTTATCGCACATTAAAACGAATAAAGAAAATTAACGTCAGATAGTTTTATTTTCTTTCGGTTGTATTTTCTGTATTTATAAAAAGTTTCGATTGCATATGCATTTAAATTCTATATTGTATCAATTATAATATGCTTGAAATTTATACATATATTGTCGAAGTTTATATTATCGCTATAATATTTTAACTGAATTTTGGGTTTATTAATCCGGAGATTTGCTTTAGATACTGTACCCGTCAAAAAAATCTCTACCCGGGTATTATTAAATTATCCGGTTATCCGGATAAATTATTATAGCCATAACGATAATAAAGATGTACAATCTCTAATTTGCTTATTATATGACGTATGACAAAAATTAATTTTGATTTTTCGGTAGGCCTGGCGATGACTTCGATTTTTGGTTTAAGGTTTACAAGATCCAGCAAATATAAACATAACGATCGAAGGACACTCCTCTGCAAGATCGCACGTCCGTAATCTGTGACAGGTTAAGCCACTAATTTCAATCACCGCCTATATTCCCAGTGTAAGACTTGACTATCAAAAAATACCTAAAGTTAGAATTTAAAACCAAAAGTTGTCTTTTGATATTAACTAAACAAACATTTATATAAAAAAAAAACTTTTTAATTTTAAAATTAAAATAATGAGTAACATAAATATTCCTCTAGTATATTATAATAACTTTAAGCAAATCAAAGCAAACAATATTTCGTTTCTTTAACCGTGCTAATTGTTCAACACATTCTTACTTAAATGATACTTTTTTTTACTTAATTCTTAACTTTTCAACTAAAAGAGCTGAATTCTCCTTTCGCCCATATCATTCGTGAACTCATATTTCCACAGCACTTTTGATTGAACAAACGCGACTAAAATAATAAAGAAAAATATTCGGAAGATTTTATTTTTGTTACATTATACCTGTATACTTATCTTTGAATTTATCTTCGTATTGAGTTAAAAACTAAAACTGAAGTGATGCCGAAAATGTTCTTTTTCATTTTCTTAATTCTGTTTTATATCAGTTTTTTTTTTTAAAATATATATAACCTCGAAGACCTTTTATATTAAATTTTTGTTTTTATAAACTTTATTAAAAAAATTGGTTCTTTTTTAAGTCTTATTAGATGTCGATAGGGTTATTTAAACTTTAATTTGCACACTTAGATAAAAAAAAAAAAAAAGTAATTTATAAATAGCTTTTTCATCATGATTTAAGGCATAATGGAACTGTGGTTAAAATCAGTGGTTTAACCTGTCACAGATTACGGACGTGCTGCAAGATCCTCGAATGACATATGAATGACGTAAGTTGGATGCAAATACGGTATTATTAGAATTACGTATAATGCTAATGAATTGTTGGGTTTTTCAACGTTCATATGCGTTCGAGAAGTTTATTACTGCGCATTTGTGGAATTAAGCAGATAGAATGGAAAGATGGGTTAGACATTAGATTTGGGTGTGGAGTATATCATAATTTAAATCAGGAAATGTATGACTCACTTATCTTAAAATGACAAAACAACATACTCGATAAAATAATTTGGAATACACTTAATTTTATTGTAATTTGAATTAGCAACTCAGGTACATTTTAGAATTCTGTTACAACCTATATCTATTTGAAATCAACCTATGTGGATTCCAAACCCACAATAATTCTATTCCGACATACGACATATATACTAGACTTAATTAATTTTATGCTATCTACGATCACGCAATTTGTGCTGCGCAATCACGTTACATAACCCGAACCCCAGCGCTACGAATTACCAGGGTACTATCGACGTGCACAGTATATTACGTATCATATTAGCAAAGCAAAGAAATAATAATGAAGGCATAGATATCGTATGGTAGCCTCCGAAAGGTTATAACTTTTTTTTTTTTAAATCCAGATTGGCGGGATTGAACATTTAGATAAATTAGTAAGAAAAAAAAGGGTGTTTATTTTCACAATACAATAATAATGTGTTAAATTTTATGTTTTCCGTGTAATAGTATCAGATTTTTAAGGTTACATTTCAACCGAGCTGTAAATTTTTGATCCGGTTGAACCGGTTTGACGCGGGTGGCCCGGTTTACTATAATCCAGTTCTAAACTCTACTTATTGCATGATCTTCCTTTGCGGCTTTAACTGTATATATATTTTTTTTAAGAGAAAAAAAAAGTATATATATATGAATTTGTCTAAATAAATGCTTTTTCATGGCAAGTACAAAAAAACCCACACACGAGTATATAGTTGACTGCAAAATTAATTTACAAAATTCCACATTTTCGCATTGCAATGCGTATTGCGATTAATTCGACAATACCTTAATGCCACAATTCAATAATTTTGCTATACTTCTTATACATCAGCAATCCCACAAATTACTAGTAACAAAAGTGACATCTGACAATGATTCCTCGGAAGATGAATCTGATGGCTCATCACCTGAGAATGTTCAATGAAATATATCCCTTTTGCGTACTCCAGAATTGTACTTTGAATGAATCTTTATCTGACAATATAGTCGATGGAAAAATTACTGAATTGCGACAGTGCGACTTGGAGTATAATTAATTGCGGCATAGTATTTGAACGTAACTCATTGCCGCAATACCACATTGCCCATTGTAATGTGGTATTTTGTAAACTTAATTTGGATCAAATATAGTATAAGAGACACCATTAATAAAATTGATTATTAATTTGCTGTCAAATATATTCTGCGAATTGAATTATCCTTTTTTTTTTTTTTTGCCGTGCGGGGTTTTGTACGAACTTTCACTTGTTTATGTCACTAGTACTCACCAAAAAACTGTTGACTTCGTTTCTAGCAGTTAAAGACATTGGAATAGATGTGTTGGAGTATTGTTGTTGTTGCCTTGTGCCATTACTACGTATTTGACCATCAAGGCTTCTGCGTGCTGGTTGGTTGCTGGGTGTCAAGTGATTCTGGCTTGAAGTAGAGGTTGTAGATTTATGTGTGCTGTGTGAACTTGACTGTGTTCCACGAGCTATACTAGAGGCGTTGGACTGTCTCATAGAAAGACTACTATTTGATGGTGGATGAGATGTTGATGGGCTTTGTCGTCTCATCAAATCGTAATTCGTAAGATAGTTCCTGGTCTGTAAAAAAGATTATTATGATTTAATCCTTTGAGATAAATATTTCATACATTATATATGATTTTAAATTAAATTATTTACGTTAAGTTTTACATCAGTTATCCATTCATGCATGAGACCTTCATCCGGCTTCATTCGTTTCTCAGGATCCCAATGCAAACAGCGCGATATAAAATCCAAGAAAACTTCATCCTGACATTTCAAAACATTCTGTAATGTTTTTTGTCCAGGCCGCCGCCGTTTACCTTTTGAATTTATAACTGGGCGCGGATTTCCATTTAAGTCTAGGGAAAAAAAAAGTTTATTAATACAATATGATAATATGATAAACTAAAAAATATATATATATGTATATATATAGATATATATACCGAAAAAGAGCTTCTTTCTTGTGCTCTTTTCTATTAAATATCTCTCAGGAATCCCTTGAATCTCCATTATACAAGCCAATTGCTCTTGTTCACCTTCCCCTGGGAAAAGTGGATATCCTAATTACAATTATAAATATATAATATCAGTATATAACATTAATAATAAATAATAACCAATGTTAAACGGATAATTTAACTAACCTGTGTACAGTTCAGCAAGTATACAACCTAAACTCCACATATCGATTGCCATATTATAAGTCATTCCTAATATGACTTCAGGGGATCGGTAAAACCGACTCTGAATATAAGTATATACTTTTTCGTTTTCGAAACAGCTACTACCAAAGTCAATGACTTTAATACTGCTCTTTGTCGGATGTTTTAAGAGCACATTCTGCTCATAAATAATAAATTTATTCAGTATAATTTGGGTCAATAAAGTATAAAATATAATTTATCGACAACTACCTCCGGTTTTAAATCACAATGCACTATATTATGTTTTTGCAGCAGTGACAAAGAATTCAGCAACTGGACGCAAAATCTTTTGTGACAAAGAATTAAATCAATATATCTAATTTGTAATAATCACAATAATCACAATGACAAATTTTTTTTTTATAAACAAAAATTATACGTTTCGTACCTTTTTATTAATCCAATACTGAATCCTGAGAAGTCATGACTCTTTATGAACTCGTATAGGTTCATACTCAAAAGCTCAAATACAATACATAAATGATTCCGGAAATAAAAATGATCGTCCATATGAACGATATTATGAGAATCATCAGGATCCTAAAAATAAATAAATAAATAAGTATATATAGATATTAAAAAATTGAATTTTAAAGATAAAATTTTAAAAAAGATAAAAGTAATTTTTCAATTAATAACATACCCATTTATTTAGGCATTCTAAAATCTTTACTTCTACTAATGCCTGACAATGAAATCTCTTTTTATTACGAATTATTTTAACAGCAACATACTCTCCCGTTTTGTGATCAAGACATTTTAATACTTGACCAAAAGAACCCTTGCCTAGACTTTCAACTATTTCATAACGATAACATAAATGATCATTGTTTATTACGATATAGTCTCCACGTTCATCATCGAAGCCAAAATTACAACCAGTCAATTCAGGACTCGATGCGACTTTTTGAGCATTTTGACCCACAAAATAAACTTCAGAATATTCTAATATTTCAGAACGTTCAAATAATGATAAAGATGGTGCATAAGTTTTAAGTGCTACTTGAGGTTTCATAGCTGAAGACCCTTTCATCCGGGCTTCTTGTCTTCTTCGTTCTCTCTCTCGATCTTTCTTGCTTTTTTCAGATCCTGTTAAAAAGCTGGTAGTTTCATCATCACCACTTGTCGTATTATCATCGTACTGTCCAGCAGAATTATTGTAACCACTTGGCGTACTCTCAGTAGAAGAGTAATCTACTTCTAAACCATAACCCGGCGTAAGTAAGTTGGACGGATTAGTAAGATTGGTGGTCGAAGAATTTGCACTCAAAGAATGAGTGGTTTTTGAAGTTGAACGTTGTTTACAATTAGTTGAAGATAAACTTGTCGGAGTTTTTGCAGTAGAAGATAAATTATTTCTATTTCCTGAAAACATATTAGATATAGCAGTCGATAGGCGCCTTTTATTTAATTCTTTTAGTTGAATAAAAAATAATTTATATATATATATAGATCATTTACATTTAGATAAATAATAATTAAAATAATAACGAATGAAAAAAAGGATAATATAGAATACTTACTTTTATCAGATTTGCTAGAACTTATTGAATTACTAGTTGATGAATTTACAGCTGTACCATTACTTATTTGTGAACGCCCTTGTTTACTAGATGGTGATGAGGGAGCAACTCTTGAACTAGATATAAGTCCCTTACCATTTGGTGATGATAGACCACCAATTTTGGCAGGTTTTGATGGTATCAGAGTTGGTGTAGGGATTTTTGAAGTTGGAGTTGTTAACATTCTGAAAGTAGCAGTAGGGGTTTTTGATTTAATATGAGGATTGGAATGTGTAGGTATCTTAACATTTGGAGGCAATGCGTTAATGTTAAAAGGCGGTAGAGTAAGAGCGGCCAATTGAGCAGGAGCAGGAGCCATGTTGGCTGGAAGTGTCTATGTTTTATTTATTTATTAATTAGAAAAATAAATGTCAGATAAATGAGTTTAACAACAGCCCTCACAACAAACTTTTCCAACCTGTCGTCGGACTATCCTATCAGTCTGCTGTTGGCCGTGCATCTAACGTAATTCAAAACCAATCCATTTGTTTTTGTTTAAGTGTTGTGAAGAAAAATACTAAATACTAATTACTACTTAAATAAATAAATAAATAAAGTAAAAAAGGTTCACATACCGCTCCTCTCTGCCTTGTCCTTTTTGTCTCGGTGGTTTTATCTCTCTTTTCACGAGGTGAAACATTATCACCTTTTGATGAAAATGTAGATTTTTGTTCGTTTGATATTGATAAAGGTAATGCAGGTACAGGAGGAATTTCATCATGAACTTTTGTTAATTTAGGGAGCAAACTTGGCATAGCAGGTACCGGTGGTGGAGGTTGCATATCACTTATTGGTGGAGGTAGTGAATCCCGTTTAGATGACGTCGGTGTTGTAGTTCTACTATTAATTGGCTTTGGTGGAGATATACTCGAAGAATTAGTAGAACCATTAACGGTTAATCTTCGATTTTTTGTATCAAAATTGACAGTCGAATTATTGTCATATTCAGATTTTTTTTGAGTATTTTTTGAACCATAACTAACACTACGAATAGGAGCCGGTGGTGGTAATCTTGAAGTTAAAATAGATGGTGGAGGAGTTATAGGCATAGTTTTTGATTTACTAACGGTAGGAAGTAGGGGTGAGGGAGTTCGACCGCTAACCGGATTATAATCATCATCCGATACAGAATTCATTAGGCCATTAACAGTTTTTGACTTTGAAATATTATTATCTCTTCGTAAATGTTTTTCAAATGATGCAAATTTTTCCATTTGTGCCATTGCGACAGCTTTTATTTCCATAGAAACACCACCCACCGTTTTTCGTTTTTCTTTCATCCTAAGTTTTTCATCCGAACGTGACTCCTTTAATACTTTTTTACTTATAGTTGGTTCAATCTGGCCATTAGCTGTTAAACTAGTACCATCACTAGCGTATTTAACATGACCACTTGACTTTCTTTCATTAGAAAGAGGTAGATGTGCAATTGATGTTTTAACAGTTTCTTGACTTGTACGTCGCATAAGAGATGGTTTTATAGGAGTAGTAGGAGTTGAAGGTACACGTTTTGTAGAATGTGCACTTCGTGGTTTATCGCTTCTTTTTTTTTTTTAAATAATTTAAGGGAATCAATCAATAATATAGTGAAATTAGTCAGAAGGAAGAAAATTAAAAGATTTAAGCTCTAAAAATATTTAATAAATAATAAAATATTTGAAAGATTATATTACCCTAAATAAACAATCTTGCTTTGTAAATCATCATCATCACTTTCGCTTCCTCTAATAGAAAAACTTTTCTCCATTTTTGTCAAGACTTGTCTAGTCTGGTCAGCAAGTTTATCTTCAACCAGTTCCAGATCATTAAACATTTTTAGTACATTTTCAGCTACTGCTCTATAAGTTTCTTTATCTTCGATAAGTTTCTTCCGACTAGATTTTTTACGAGGAGATAAAATTGGTTGACTAGATGAGGATGGGGTTGATTGATCAAGATGAGCGGTATCTAACAATCCCATATCCATTCTCCCATCTTTTGTTTTTTTTACCGGATTACCGCTAGTTTTCTTAGACGGTGAGGACCCTCTTTGTGAATTTGTAGAAGTACTTCTCACATGCGATTGTTGTGGCCATGAAGAGAAATCGGAAACATTTTGATCATTTGTTACAGCATTATTAGAAGGATTTGCTTGATAAGTACGATTTCGGGTTGATAAAGTACCGTTAGAAGTTGAAGAGACTGCAGACAGTCTTCTTGAGGGAGTTTTTTGAGCGGTATCTGCCATAACGACCAAATTACGTACATGTGATGTGGATAGAGAAAAAGAATTTGTTCAGATTCAGAACTAGATTGGTGACGTATTTGATTGAGAAGTGTTTTTTTTTTTTTTTTTTAAGTCAAAAGATAATTGTTCCACAATTTATATACATAAATGTTATTAATGAAACCGATCTTTTTTAATATTGATATCATTCACTGAACATTCATCTATAAAAAAGTACATTATTCGCTGGGGAGTTGCCTAGGTGCCACCCCCGGGTGTTAAATTATTTTTTGGCCACGACCAATCAAAATTTATTACATAAAATAGTTGTATAATCAGATTTATTTATATAATAAATTTAAGTAATCAGATTTTATTTATACTGTATATAAATTTAAGTAATCTGATTTTTTTTTTTTTTTTTTTATAATATATATAAAAAAAAAAGTAGTAAAATAAAGTAAATAGAAAATAAAATAAGTAGAAAGAAACATCAAGAAACAGTGAAGACGTCATTAAAGAATTTTCTAAATATCAAATAACCCATTAAGAAACACGTTGTTAAAGCTCCCTAAAAAAACAGCAAAAAACCTATGAGAAGTTTTAAAGAATGTTAAAGAGACACTGTCAAAAAAGTCAGAAATACCAAATAATCGTCATTAAAGAATTCTTCACAAAAAAAAAAACGGTAATGAAAACACCATTAAAGAACTCTTCAAGAAACCCTCTAGGAAACATTGTTAAAAACTTTAAGAAGTACAGTCAAAGAACTCTCAAAAGGTCCAAAAGAGCTCCAAGAACTTTTAAAAGGATGTCAAAGAATATGTCTCTTTAAAAAAACATAAAGAGCGTCAAAAACTCACCGAGAAACATTACCAAAAAACTCTCCAAGAATTATGAATGAAATATTAATAAATGTTTTCGAAAGACTACCGAAGAGAAACGTGATAAAGAGCTCTACAAGAAACCCAAAGAAACATCTTCAAGAGCTTCCAAGAAAGTCGATAATAATGATCTAAATTGTTAGTCGAACAACCGATCGTTCATTGATTATCTACACGTAATTAAGGTTCGTTAATTGGCTAAATGTAGTACAAAAGCATGTGATAATTTATGATAATTTATGATAATTTATAATAATTTATTCAACCAATTACCTAAGTTTAGTAAAACATGTGGTTATTAGTGAATTGTCTACTAATTGATTTAGTAATCGTCAAAAGAAACTGTGAAAAAAAAATACCAAGAATTGCCTTGAAGGAATAGCTAAAGGAAAGAACCCCTGAAGAAACGTATTATAAATTTTACTGGCTGATCAGGTAAGATGGCACAAACTTTTCTAAATATATGAAAGTCTTCGGATAATTTACCAATGTTTCATTCAAAGAATTTACTAATACGGAATTCGCCAATGTTTCATTCAAAGAATTACTAATGTTTCATTTGGGGATATATAATTCAAATTATGACTCAGACTTTTTCTCTTTTGTGAAGATAACCTATGATTTAATCGTTTATTAGTTTGGTTTAGTTTGAAAGATCGGACTTTCAATAATTGAAGGTACTTATGGTGTATATTCAGCACAGCATACGTATAGCATATAGCATATAGGTTACCCGGACTTTTTATATAAATTATATTATTATTCAAGAACTAAGCTAGTAAGGATACCCAGGTCGATACTTCGATACTGAATGCGATAAATGCAGAAATTATTCTATGTGGATGTCCAACGGATAACGGATATTAATTGTTGCAAGACATTAAGAACTTCGGCTAAGTCCGTTAAGAAAGAATAATCGTATCACTTTAACAGAAAAATCTAACGGCAAATTTGTACCGAAATTTTTAACTAAAAATTTTCATTTATTTTAAAAACAAAGATATCCCTTTCATAAGGTTGAAGCAAGATATCAAATATTTATAAGAAATACTTAATAGTTTTTTCTACATAAATTAGGAGGCATCTATGAATCTAGACCAGTGTTCGAAATTTTTTCACATGAAACTATTAATGTTAAATTTTGTGTTCTCAAGACCGATACCGATACCAATTATTAACGTTTATTAAATTTTTAGTTCTCAAACAAAAAAATTTCATGTTTTTGACAGCATTTTGGATTTCTAGCACTATTCCATACTTGCCTGCAAAATTCTCATCATTCATTCAAACAAGAAATATCGACATGATATATAAGGTTATTTTTGATTCAATTTTCTATAAATAGCAATTTGTTGGGGATTTTGATAAGTATGTCCGAGAATGAATGATTGGGCTGCTATTCTTGTCAGTCATACTTACTCACGCACATATGTACATATATGTACAATATATCAGTATCAATCTTAGGAAATTAGGGACTATGTACGTATGTACTTTCGGTATGGCAAAGATAATACACTTCCCCCGTGTTATGGTTTGTGGAGTCGCAGGAGGAAGGAGGATGTGTTGAACTCAACAAATAAAACCTATTGGTCTCTTTATGTTATAAATAATTTTGTGTTCCAATTATTATGATTTAGGAAATTTTTGATGTTGATGATATAAAAGCATATCACCCTCTTTCTCTTGAACTTATTTACAAATATATCAATTAAATGGGAATATTCAAATACATCAATCGTAACGTAACATCAGTAGAGATGAGATGGATCTAAATAAATTACTAGTTTTAGAAGTTTTTGTAAACTGCAGTACGTATTAAAAGTTATTTAAGATAAAATTTGTCTTTTGTTAAAAAAGTGTTAAGTCTTTTCTTTTTTAAAAAAAAAAACTAAAAATACATACTTGCTTAAACAAACCCGAGAAGGCTTATAATACTATATACTGTACCTCTGGTTAAAATTTTAAGTAATTTTTTTTAATTAATATATATTTAATATATTTAATATATTTAATATATAGTTTTATTAAGAAAAACATTCTCCAAACCCGTGATTTGTTTATATTACATTTGTTTTTTGTCTTTCATACGTACATATCGATACGTACGTACGTAATTGGAATCATATGGAAATACACCAGAATGGATAAAAATGGACAAAGAAATCAACCAAATCAACCAAATCAACCACTAGTTGATGATCGACTTGTATGAATAATCAATCAAATAGTAAAGGCGTCAAGATATAGAAAATACATATCGAAATGCTAAAAATCAGTAAAGTAATACGTAGTATTAAGGTTATACGTATTCATGTAAAACTAGTTCTTCTAATTATTATAACCATTCTAACTGTTCTAACTACGTATACTAAATTACTCAAAATTACTCTTTATATTGTCCATTGGGGGAAACAGTGTTCACTTACGCCAATAGTTGAAATTCCTGTTTAGTTTGGCATTAATTTTCATAACTATTTTTTATTTTTTTTTTCTAGAAATGCATGTTTAACATTCTAATTTTTTTAACCTAACTGTATTACCTATAATTTTTCCTTGTAGCCATGCGACAACAATCAAAAGAATTGTTATCCCCAAATTTGTTCTTGTGACTATGAAGGGACATATGAATTTATAAACGAAAACTTGATTTGGTTCGGGCTAAAACCTGTATATTTAATGAAGTCATTTGAGCATCGTAGTTACGTATCATTATCATTACACTTAATTACACGTATTTCTCGTAACGGTAACAAGTTCTATAAATAATCATGTCTCAATAGAAAAGATTTGCATCCGCTATTTGGTGCAATTCTTACCATGTGATAATTAGTTTCACCGTTTCTGTCAATACGTATAAGGGTTTTGACATGTATTTAAAGATGTAAATACCTTGATAATTATTAATTGTCAAATTATCACATGGTCATGTCTTCAATCCATCTTCACCATTCCGAATCGGTTAATATTTGAAATTTTATCTACTTTAGTGTTAGCTCAATTGTTAGCTCCAATTACAATATCGTAATAAGAATCCTTACATGGTTGTTGACATATTAGTTCTAACTTTTTATATATGGTATGTACTTGTTATTTTATAATACTTGAAAAGTCTGGATTGTGAACGAAATAACTTATTGTTACGTATCAAATTCTTAAAAATTTTTTTTATTAACTTTATTAATTTATGCTGTATAAAATCATTTTTTAATATAAATTTACTTATACTAAACGTTCTACAAAAAAATAAATTACTATATTTATATAGTAGTTCGGATTTTGAAAACTGATAATCAACTTATAGCAATTATAAAATCTTTAATTATAACAAACCAACTCAATTGCAATTAACCATTTAATTGTTATTAAATTAGGTATTATTAAATAATTAAATTTATTACTAAGAAAATTTATCTTAATATAAAGCAAATTATTATTATTATTATTATTATTATTATTATTATTATTATTATTTTAATATATAATATGAAGTATATTTAACTTATAAAATATTTTATTAAAAATACAATCAGATTTTTTTAAATGCATCTTTTCTAAATACAGGTTCTTCTAAATATACAATATTTAATTAGTCTTTATAAAGTTTTATAAATTTTTTTTTTTATAATATTAAAGTAAAGTTTTGCTTATATTTTTATTTAAAATTTATATTATTAGTAACAATATAAAAATTTAAAATACAGTTATTAATACAACTACTTGTAGTTAAAATTAATCATTGAAATTTTTTTAATTCTGATAATATAGTCAATTGGTTTATTAAATTTTAGTACAATTTTTTTTTTTCAATATTAAGGTGACCTTTTTGGTCTGAGCTTTTATTAATACTTATAGCAGATACATGTTTTATATAAACATATCTATAATGAACTATTAGACGAGTGTACAACTGGTTACATGTGTAACTTTTCTATATTATCTATTTAAGAAGTCCACCCGAGGGTTCTCTACCAGTTGCTGTATCTAACACCTCTGCTTAGGTGTTCTATTTAAACCTTCTAATCTAACCCTAGTATTAATTTCACCAGATCACAAACCCAGATCTATTCACTATCAACCATAGGACTATAATTCTTAGACTATTTTTATCCTTGAGATAAACCTACCAGAGCAAGC